TCTTCCGCTCTTCGTAGTTCGGCTTGATTTTGCCGTGGCTTTTATGTAACGTTTCGTCCCTACACAATACATTTCCTCCCCTTTAAAGTAATTCGTCCTTCTCCCTCCCTGAAAGCGCTGCCTTTTAAATCGCGTCAAGAATTCGTCGGGATTTCCGAATATCGACGAGACAAGAAATGGCGTGAAAGAAATGGCGCGAGGAAGCCCAATCGATCTGCGAAATTACATAGCAACGTGATTATAATCATATATGTAATTGTATTATACGATACAATTTTTAAAAAAATGTTTAACCATTAAATTACTTCCATGTAATTATGTTTATGTAATTATATTATATTATATTTACCATTGAATTATTTCCAAATTGGATTCTACAACATTTAAACTTAATTCCCTATTTTTTGTGCACTTTACGTAATTCGACGTTGCAAGATGTCTTCATTATTTACAATCTACTATGTAGCGAATTGCTTGACGGATGGATCCGACGCGAGTGATAACTCGTTGAGAAATCCACGTCAATTTTGTGCTCGAAGGTTCAAAGGAAGCGAGGTCCTTTCTCTCGTCACGATGAGACAATTATGAGAAAATAATTTCGAAGATCTTCCTCGCTCCATTACGACCGTATAAACCATCTAAAGCCAGCCAGTTTTTTTTTCTTATATACAGATCGCGTTTAAAGTCCTCTCTCCATTGAAAAAATTTTCCAACGGCTCAACAGCTGGCGCTCGATAATTGCCGATTCCGAAAAAAAAAAAAAAAAACGGAGGGGTGCTGCATCAAAGGTAACGTTCAATAGCCTACGTATATGCCGTAATTACTGACCGACCAGCCCATAGCGGCCTATCATTATCTATCCGCGATGTCTATCCTTCCTATTCGATAACGCACGATATACGCGGTCCCTAGTAAATTTCCTTCGATTGAATTGCGTTCGTGAGGCGTAACCGCGACCGTCGATCGCGAAACTCGACGTATACGGGCGATTAGAGTGTCTTTTTAGAGGATTAAAGTATCTTTTTCGAAACGCTTGTATATTGTGAAACTTACAGAATGCTTATATAATTCGCCGTGTACCATAATTCAATAACAATCGTATGCACGGTCCTTAATCTAACCGAGGCAAAGGGCTTCGAACCCAACAATTGGTTTAATTATTCTCGTCATTGCCGGAAAATGAAAACTTAATAATCTCCGCTCATGAAGATTTATCGTCGAAAAATCGAGTTAATCTTGCGGGATATTTTTAGAATCCGACGGCCGTAATTGTACACGCGATTTATAGTTTCCTGTTTGACTATCCCCCGTCGATATTGCAATTTAACTCAAATTATTATAATTAGAAGGGAAAATCCACGGAGAATCGGAATCCGATACTTTCGTGGATTATCGGCGATGAGCACGCGAAAGTATCGCGTGCGGCGGGATGGGAGAAGAAGAGAGACAAAAGCGATTCGGCATTTTGCCTTGTGATCGGCCAATCACTCGACGAGGATTTCACAGTCGCGCTGAAAGGCCAAAATCCGTTCGATATATAGCAAAGGCCGGAACGTTCGGCAAGGCTCGGCCGCGTCGTGCCGCGCGCGTTCCGGCGAATAAATTCAACTTTGATGTCCCAATCATCGCGCGCGCCGCGCGCCGACCTCGGTAATTAAAATCGAATTTTCGGGAGAGACGAATCGAGGAAGAGCGAATCGATCTCTCGCTCCGGTCAACGGAAGAGAGAGAATGCGTGTGCGGGTGTTGGCACGTATGTGTGTGTCTCGCCAAAGAGAAACCCCCTTCGCGCTCGCGCGAACCGGATTCTGGGAAGTCTTAAAAGCAGTCGCCGACTCCCTTTTTTTTCCTCCCCGCCCTCTGCGAGATGCACACGGCTGCTCCTAACGTACCACCGCCACGGTTATTTTTGCGGGATAACGAATTGCAGGGGCGCGCGTCGTGTATCATATTACGAGCGGGCTCCCGATTTCCATCGGGGTTAGCGCGTCTCCGCGACATTTTTACCTCGTTCTCAACGCGATAAAGAAAATCTGCTGGAATTCGCGAGAAATAATATTTCTCCCCTCGAGAGGACCTCGCTCGATTTTGGAGAACGTTACTCAGAAATCTCCCCGACCGATGTTGTCGAGACCGGGCATTAATTTAATCTTACGTTAGTTCAATTATTCGACACTGGCGATCAAGCTGCGAAAATTTGATGTCACTCGACGCGTCCCGTTAATCACGATTACAAAACCCGATCGGAGACGGTCGCCGATAACGAGATAATGTGACCTAATAACGATAAGACCCGCATCAATTAATCAAGTCTGGTATCAATCCGAGTGTAAGAATATAACTCGTCCGAAAAGTTAAGCGCGCTTAATACGTAAAATACGATCTCGACCTTTCCTCCCCTCCCCCCTCCTCCCTATCGCCAGAGATGAATTAAGACTGACGTGAATTCGTTAACTGCGGATATCAAGAGCTCGCCGTCACGCGTTTTACGAGCTCCGGCCCGTTTATCCGTAAGAAGCCGCGTCGCTAAGCGAATCAGTGTCTCCCCAAGCGCGTCTCTCGTTCGTATCCCAGCGCATTAAACGTTAAATGCGACCGCGCAGCTTCCACCGCGACGATCAGGATCGAACGCGATCTCTCGCTAAAGGACGAGAGTTGCTAAGTTTCTCGCCTCCTCCCCCTCCTCCTGCTGCTGCTCCTCTTTTCGACTCCAATATTATTAACTTCGATGCAGCGGAGGAAGCGTGCACTTTACGCGGCGTGCGGGATACGAGCGTGATCTCGCGCGCAGAGAACGCGAATTTGCGCGATAATGTAAAACTCGAAAAATTCTACTCACATGAGATCGCCTCCTTGGGGATGTCGCTGAGCGGGAAGCCCTGCGCCTCGAAGATCGGCCTGACACTGTCGCACTTGAGCCCGGCGGCGTTCACCGTCGTCGTCGTCGTCGCGACGACGAGCGTCGCGACGGCGACAATCCACAGAGTCGTCATGGTACTCGTCATTCTCTCACGTGGCGAAGAGGACGCTTCTCGTCCTCCTTGCACCTTCCTTCCGCGCGCGCGGAAACGAAAGCGAAACGTGGGAGCGGAAGAAACGGAGCGCGATCGAGGGACAGAAAGGGAGACGAGAGCAAACACACGCTACGACCTCGGCACTGTTACTCCCGACGACGACGACGATGACGACGAAGACGACGTGGACGACGTTATGTTGTCGTTGCCGGCGGCGGCAGCGACGGGACGGACGCGACGACACTGACGCGGCTCGTGCATTCGCGAACGTAACCGTGCGCGCGCGCGCGCGCGTCACCCCCTCACGCGATCGCGCGTTGCTGTGTCGGTGCGACGAACCGGCGGGTTTATTCCTCGTGGCACTCGAATAATCGACGATAAACGAACCGTGTATCGCGAGACACTCCGAGAGAGAGACACCAACCTCACCGTCGGCGCGAGACGCACTGACCTGACTGTAGCGCGAAGCGCGAAGCGAGAGCTGTGATGTGCGCCGGCCGCCGAGCCGCGCAGAGGTACGCCGAGGAATGGCGCGCTTGCGCCGTACGGTAACAGGTTTGAAACGGCCAGTGCCGCCAACCCGCGAGGAGTGCGCATGTACCAACCGAACGAAGAGAAGAAAGCATCCGTCGATAACACCGCGCGGTTACTGACTGCGCCCGCAAGAGCAGTTGGTAAATGAAATGCGGTTGATAATATCTTAATCTGCTGTACCTTTGTTTTATTTCAAGAAAAGAAATTAATTGTATTTTATAGAATAATTAAAGCTGTAGAAGCGAAAATGATCTGTCATCTATGTTTCATTTCTCCTAACTTTTTTTACACGAATAAACGTCTCGTTGAGAGAAAATGTGTTTAAAAAATTACATTATTTATATAATAATCATACTATGTATATATTATATCTTCTATTATATATTCTATCTTTATATTATATCACTTTTTGATATGCATTATCGAGCTAAAATTTGTTTTTTTCAAAACTATATAAAAAATATTACTAACTTGGAATACGTATTTTAATTCGATGAATATGCAATTTGATGATAGTGACACGATCGCTATAATTATATATATTTCATATAACGCCAATTGAAAAAATACATATTCCTCGTAAAAGACAAAAAAATATACGAATTAACTAGTATGTATATCTATATTCCATATTTGCAAAAAATAATTGTGTTGATACATGATGTATTTAATCACATACATATATCATTTTAATGATGTAATTGCGTGATGTAACACAAAAGCAATAAGCCTGAAAAATTGTCAGAAGGCACACACAGTGTTTTATAAATAAAATTTTTATAATGCTATTAATAGCAGAGAGAAAACTTTTTGCTATTTTGACAATATTTTATTTTTCATTTTAACATTATATAATATTCCTTTTTGATGTAACTATTCAATATTATGATAAAAATACATAATTATATAAAGAGATATGTATGTAATTATGCTATGTATATAACTCAATAATAGAGATTAATACTATTCTGATATATCTGTATAAATATTATTTGACCAATTAAAACTTAATTTATAATGGACGGTTCAGAGTAAGTTCATAACTTAAATGGAAATTCTATTACGATATATTAATAAAAGACTAAAAAAATTATCCATTTCAATTATAAAGGATTGTTATATCAAACTGTGATTGTTTTATACTACACTGTTAAATCTATAGTGTTAAATTGAATCTTATTTAAGTCGCCACTGCTCCTACTTAAAAAATAGTTATTTTTTACTAAAACAATAAAATTAAATAATTTAAAACAGTTCAAATTTAACCCAAATTTTGGTGAAATTCTATTGTTTTATTTAAAAGTAATTATATTGTTTTAGTGAAAAATAACTATTTATTAAGTAGAAGCAGTGGCGACTTAAATAAGATTCAATTTGACACAATAGATTTAACAGTGTATATTTTTATCTCTCAAATTAAATTATATAAAATTATATAAACAAATAATCATATATATTTGCTAAATATATTTTGCAAGAAATCAGAGATCATCAAATTTCTACTTCGATATCTAATATCTGCGTCATAATTGTATCTCTTTTCTTTATCTTCACATAAATATATAATTCATAATTATTTTCATATAAATTTATAATTAACAAGTTCAAAATATTGTTGTACGTTAACAAAAATAGATATTTTCATACGTGATAGCGAGAGATCTATTATCAGGCCTAAAATAAAAACCGTTAATTGCATAATTGCAAGTATATCAAAACTACGGCAAATAGTAACCGCATTTGCATAAACTTTGAAGACACGACAAAATTAACGAGAAATCCCACTCGTTAAAGACTCATTACGTTTTGGATGGAATAGCAGGTGCGCTTAGCCACAATGTCGGTAATGCATTTGCGATGGCAAACAGTTGAAATCGGATTCTCGTTAAATTGCACTTTGCCATTCGGCCGAGAAATATTTGCTTTAATGGTATATTGAGCTTTCTATCAGTTTGTATGTTGTTTCATTTCAATAAAATTCTATTGCCATTTAATACTGATATATCATCAAACAGAAATATAAAATGAAAATAAAACGAGTACTCATCATTAAAAGTGAATGGACAATCCTATTTACTCACAAGTTTGTAAAAAATATATCAATGTGCACAAAGGAAAAACTCGATCGCACGCTTATTTGCCTTGGGCTCGATAATTCTTGTTAGAGATTCAGTATTAATTATTCGATGTTAAGGCACGAGAATAACGGATCTTTGTCCATTGTTTAATTCATTTCAAATTATCTCCCATAATTAATTCACTCATATATTGTTAATGGAAACCAACAAGTGTAATTGACAAGTGAAATCAACAGTTTTAATGTTGATTTCACATTTTTCGAAATCGTGAAATAAAACTGAAATATTTTCCTTTGCACAATTATCAAAATATAAAAGCTTGCTATTTATCGTAAAATTTTGGCCCGTTAAAAATTCAACGGATTGCTATAAATGATTCGACCTACATATACGTGATAGTGCTGTGACACAACGGGCAGGCGTTTATGTTAACAACGTCGCGTTCCGTTGCAACGTGATGCCGGCAAACGGTGCAGATCCACGCGATGCTGAGGTCCATCAGAGGCTTGCCCGAGACGACGCAAGCCGGGAATCTGGTCGAGCAATTCGGGCACGAGATGCACCAGTCGGGCACCAGGGTCTCGCAGTTGACGCATTCCGCCTTGTTGTTGCGGGAGTCCTTCGGCGTGTATTTCGTGAAGATATCCACCGCAAGCTCCTCATATTCCTCCTTCTTCGTCTCCGTGATCGTCTCGAGTCCTTCCAATTTTATGAAGGCCTTCGAGCACGTGGCGAACGCGTGATTAACGGCGCTGGATAGCGCCAGTAGACAGTGGATGTCCTCTACCTCCAGTATATCTTCGTAGTCTTTCAATCGCAGAGCGGTCTTCATCGCGGCGTCGAAATTGCCGTCGTATAACTGTCTATGTGCGAGCAGAAGGAAGTGATACGCCTCAGCGCCCCGCCAGGCGTTTTCTATGATCTTGGTGTCCTCGTTGCTCTCGGTAAGACCCATGACAACGTTGCTGCGTCCCCCTTTTATTGCCGGCACGCTGTTGATGTGGTCCTCGATCAGTAAGGCCGCGAGGACGTATATCTTCTTCACACGCAGGGGATGCGACTTGGATCTGGCTTGCTCCTCGGCGAGATGCAGCAATAATTTAGCCGCTTCCAAATTGTAGTTAGCCTTCTTATACAGTTCGATCGCCTGCAGACGCTTGCCGTTCGACAACAGATGATTGGCGTATTTGTTCAGCAGCTCGCCGATCTGTGCCATCTTGTACGTCTTCGCCAGTTCGACGGCCTGGTCCCAGTGATTCAGACGCACGCACGTATCTACGGCCAGCTTCACGTCGCCGTATTTGATATAAGCTGCCACCGCCTGCGGGCACATTCCCACCGAAGCCAGCATCCTCGCCACAGTCTTCAAGATGGGACTCTTGTCCGGTAGCTGATCCACGGTTGCCGCCAGCTGAACGAAATCTTCCAGCTTGTAATAGCACTGGATGAGTCTCTCCAAATTTCTGCCTTTCTCGTAGTACTCCTTTGCGCTTTCCCAGTTCTGCCTCTCGGCGAAGTGATCGCCGATCTTGTTGTACGCGTGCTCCATTTGTTTGTCCGAACCGCCGATGCCCATCTTCATCAATTGCACAACTCGAAAATAATCGCCCAGCTTCTGGCGCAGCGCGACCGCCAGATCCCGCCTGTCCATGTCCAGATAAAGTTTCTCGGCCTCGTCGTAGTTGCCGAGAAACGCCGCGACCTCGGCCTTCTTCAGCTGATCGTTGTGCACGTTCTGCAGACGTTTGATAAACTGTATGCCCAGGTAATCCGTGCAGCGCACCATGGCGTTCTCCGCCGTTTCCAAGTCCAGCTTCGTCAACGCCGACTCGGCCAGTAGACGCCAGAGACGCGGGTGCGGATTGTCCTGGATAAAATTGTTGGCCTCCCGCAGACCAACTTTCGCCAGCAACTCCCTCGTGTCTCGCAGAGATTTCACTTCCAAGTCGACGATCAAGTCCTTTCGCGTGTCGTCGGCCTTCAGCATGAGATCGTCCAGTAGAACGCAGCGTATCTCCAGATCTTGGAACGAACAAATGTATCCGGAGCAGGCTATCGGCTCCTCAGGGTCCAGCCCTCTCAGAACATACATCCTGGTTTTCTCCATAATCGCAAGAAGCGAGGGATTATCCCGCGCCCAGCACATAGCCCATACGTCCTTCCTCTCGAATTTCGATATATCCTCGCTCGTGTCTCCGTCTCGCGAGTCGGGCTTTTGCGAATCCAGGTCCAGCATAGTGAGTATACCGTTGGCGTCCAGGATAGAGACGCGCGTGGAGTCGCAATTAATGGCGAGTCTGTGCAGTCTGCACGCGGTATTGTATCGATTCACGAGCGTTATCTGTGGCAGGGAATATCGCTGAATCATCCCCGAGTCTCGGCCAACCAGAAGGATCTTCTCGGTGGCGTAGACGCAGCAGATCGGATCCATGGTGACCTTCGTGTTGATGGGAGTCTCGTACGAGCCGTCCTTGTCCAAATCCTGGATGACCTCGGTCACGCCGGTCGGCGTCTCGTCCACGTGGTAGATCTTATACTTGCGCATCCTGCTCGGATGCAGCGTCGAGTTACGGGGCGAGCGGAAGTTCCACACCAGGAAGTTGTTCTTCGACGCGGCCACGACCATGTTGGAGGTCATGGTGAGGTACAACGGCTCCAGATCCAGGAACTTGGAGTCTATCGGCGTGGCGATGGTGTTGCAGACGAGCAGGGCGAACTGCTCGGTGGCCTGAGCGGGATCGTTTCTCACGGAGAGCACACAGTGCTCCCCGTGCGAGGCCATCGATATCAGGGATCTCACGTACTTGGTGCAACATGTGTTGCTGCTCGTGTTCCAGAATGTCACGCAGGTGCCGTCCTTGCCGATCTTCTCGTTCGTGAAGACGACCGTGTTGCTGAAGTACGTCCACTTGTAGTCCAGACGGATGTTCGCGAAGTATATGTGGGAGTCGACGGACAGGGCGACACGGAGGGAGCCTTTCTCCCAGGTGCAACACGTCACCTCCCGTCCTGGTATCTTCAGAGTCCTCATGTGCTCGCCGAACGGCGTGTAAAACTGTATGACGTTCATGTCCTTCGTTTCGCCGTTACTGAGCAATGGCATCATGCCCGTTATAGCCAGAAGAGAGCCGCAGCTATTCCAATTGCACCACGAGGTAGTCATCCCGGTCTCCAACATAATCGGATTGTCATCGCTGGTGTCCCGCATCAGTACTATCCTACCGTTGCGATAGCAAATAGCTAGAGTAGGACAGTCCATGGCGACGTAGCCGTTTCTACCGTCATACCACTGTAGCGCCACTATAGTCTGATACAGGGAGGTATTCTGCGAGGGAATGTTCAGTTTCGTCAGAAATACGCCTTGATTGTTGTACAGATGAAGCTCACCGTTTTTCAAACCGAACAGAAGCAATTTTCCATCCGGCGACCACTGCACGGCGGAGAGGGACACGTTCTTCAATTCTTTACCCCAGATTCTGTTGCCGTCGACAGATCCGACGATCACGGCCCCGTCCTCGTAGACTATGCATATCTTCTGGCCGTCGCAGCTCCACGCCATGCCTCTCACCACAGACTTGTTGCGATTGTTTATCATCTCCTCGTACCACGAGCCCTTATACAGCATCCAAACGATAATGACTCCGTTCTGATCGCTCGA